AAAAAAAAAAAAAAAACAATACAAAACAAAAACATGTTAAGATTCTACATTCTTTGCTTCTGTAATTCCATCAACACCTTTTTACATCTCTCTCTCTCTCTCTCTCACTCTCTTTTTTTTCCATAAGAGAGAAAGAGTGAAAAGAACAACAATAAAAAAAAAAAAAAAAACATTCCAAAATTGTGAATTCTATACATATTTACTTGTTTCTCTTTCTTTCTTTTTCACTACTCACACACACTATATATACCTTTTCCCTCCACAACCCCCTTAGGGTGGACTAACAACAGTGCGAAGCATTCCATAGTGTACGGAAGGATCTATACTTCTTTGTTTCTCCTTCTGTTTCCATTCTTCTAATAGTGGCGTTGTGAACTTTGAGACAAATGACTCTGCCAATAACGCCTCGGCAACCAAATTCCCACCATCAATATGATCCCGCAGGGTAACACCTACACCAAGTAGAATGTTAATAGCATGTAAATCTCCACAACGAAGGGCATACTCCATTGCTGGCACAGGAGGGTCTGTTAATGGATTTGCCTGTACAGTTACCACACGACATCGGATCATTAAATAACGTATCGCATTTACATTTCGTATTTGCCCAGTAAAGAGAACCGCATAAAGTGTTTCTGGAGTGAGATAGGTTCGAGGTGCCATTGAAAGTGATTCAAACGTTAAACGTACTTGTTCTTCTGTATATCGGAAATCTTCATCATATTCACACAAATTTATCGGTTGAGGTGGTGTTGCCTTGCGAACAGCACTTGCTGGTCGATTCGCTAATGGAGATGCCGCTCCTTCTAAAGAACTACATGTTTGTGAAGCCCGCAACATACTGGTTTGTGTTCGTGTTCGAACAGGTGAACACATATGATGTAATAAGGAAAGATAAGATTTACGACGTTCTTGTACTTTATCTATTATAAGAAGTGTACGACCTCGATTTAATGTAAGATCATCAAATTGACCTCCTGTAGAACGATAGTGTAATTCATTCCAGAAAGTTTCTACGAAAAGTTCAATATGAAGATGACCATTTTCCATATTATGATCCAGTAACCATGCGTTAAGAAGATCATCAAATGGACATCGATCTAATGGACCAAATAGAGAAAACAAGGGTGACATGGAGAGTAAGAGTTGTACCGTAGATTGATTTTTAAACCGTAATAAAGAAAGATAAAGAAGACGAAAATATCCAGATTGTATCATTTCTTCTGGAGTTCGTTTCTTTTCAGCCTTCTTACGTAATAAATAACTGAAGAGTTCATGATGAGCATCTGGTGGTTTATTAAACATAGATGTTCGTGATCGAACTACAACAGATTTTCGTTTCTCTTTCTGTGGTAATACAATTTCCCGCTTTACCATGGTACTTGTTAATGCCAATAATAACAAGGCAAGATCACTGTGATATAATCGTTGAGGTCTTGATAATACAAGTCCATCCACATTTACACACTCAGATGGTAAGAGTGAAAATTCAGAAACAAGAAGTGGATCTTGTTTAGGTCGTCCATCCTCTACACGTTGTAAAAGGGCATGGGCAACACACTCTATTAATGAGAATTGTGAAGGAGCATGTAATTTCATTTCACGGGCCTGTCGACGCCTTATCTCGAGAGCCACGGCAAGTAAGAAAGGAGATGGAACAAACCATGGACCGGTTTCATGTGCATTACGTGAAAGGAATTCCGCCGCTACAGAGGCATCATCAAGACGACGTTTTCTTCTTCTTCTCCCTTCATTATTATCATAATCATCATAATCATCATTAAAGTCTGAATGATCATCATCGCTTAATTCATTTTCTTCATCATATTCATTATCCAAATCCATAGAATCTCGGTTCATATTTGTTTTACTATCCTTAATTCCATTTGTGGGGGAAGCCGCACCCCAGGAAAGAAGTAATGATTTTGGAATCCCCATTAAGAGATGTAATATCATTCGTATTCCTACCACAGAAGATAAATGTTTCACAAGAATGAGTTTAGATGGTAGAAGATTTACTTTCAATAATGCATCCATGGTCTCAATACTTTGCTTCTCACCATCGAAAGAAATATCATCCTTGCCATGTTTTTTTTTTGCTCGTGGGGAATTGTTAATATTCAATCGTGGATAGGTAATAATATTATGCGAAAGATAACTTGGTGTAAAGAAAATATTATAGTCAATAACACCACCTTGAAGACGGTATGGTAAACGCATTTGTCCTGTAGTGTAAACAGATAACATCATACGATGAATCGTAGTAAAGATTGGGAGTGCGGCATGAAGATCCATACGCAGCCACTGTTCTATACATGCAAAGGAGACAACTTCACGTTGTGAAAGACAACAACGCAATGCAGTAGGACTCTGCAATGCAGCGAGCATAAGTACATCAATACATATAACAGAGTTCATATCCAGATCCTCCAAGGAGGGTATCTCATCCTCATCCTCATCCTCATTATTATCTTCGTTTTGCTCTTGTTGTCCCTCACCTTCTTTAGTTTTCTCTCCATCTGCTTTTCCTTCTTCTTCTTTTTCTTCTTCCTCCTCTTCCTCTCCTTCCTCTTCCTCTTCCTCTTCTTCTCCTTCTCCTTCCTCCTCTTCTTCTTCTTCATCATCATCATCGTCTCCCCTCTTCTTTTTCTTCTTCTCCACTACAGTACTTTGTGTACTGAGGTCCGATACTCCATCACGTGGGGTTGGCTTGGGAATTGTATCTAATAAATACCACCGCCGCCCATTCGCCGCCCGCACCAGAAATAAAATAGTACTCGCCTCTGGGAATCGCAATACTGTAAGAGGAACTGATTTCGCAGATAAATGCTTCAGAAGACCTTGTGAAGATAAAGGCATGGATTGCTGTTGATGTTGATAGAGAGAATCATAAGTATCTTGCTCATTATCACCTTGTTGGTCGCCAGCTGTAATAACTCCAGAAATGTCATTATAAAGAGCCTTGTGACTTCCCACAGTTAAACAACTGGTGCTGTTCTCAGTTGTCTCACCACCGGCACTGAAGATATTCCTGGGAATAGGTTCTTTTTCGTCCTTCTTTGTGTTATCCGACATTTCTGGTTCTTCTTTTTCTTCTTCTTCCTCTTCTTCTTCTTCTTCATGAAGGTTGTGAAGTCCATTTTCATCCCCTTCCTCAAACGGCCTTGTCCCTTCAGACTTCTCTCTCTTTAATCCACCAGATCCGGGATTAACATCGTTTTCTTGAACAGGTGGTACCGCATAGCCGTACATCTGCTCTAATGTACGTTCCCAATAAAAGATATCATCACTAAGAAGATACGGCAACCAAGGAGGACACTCTCGTCTGTGACGCCGAACACCACTTCTTTCTTCTTCTTCTTCTTCCTCCTCTTCTTCTTCTATTTCATCTTCTTCTTCTTCTATTTCCTCATCGTCATCTACATTGTTACGACGGTTGGTGTTATTCCCATTACGCGGTGGTTTCCTTTTCCCCACTTGAGCCACTGCGGGTGTAGTGAGTCGAACACTCACGGTCTTCTTCTCTTCGCCTTGACCGGGCAGCCGCAGTGTTATCTCCCTCACGGCGGGTTTACACGGTGGGAGTTTCTCACCCTCATCCACCTCCTTGTTGACATCACCACTATTATTATTATTATTATTATTATTATTATTAATGCCTTTGGCATTTCCTTCCTTCTTTACACCACGACCCTTCTTTGTGTTTTCATCATCTTCTTCTTCTTCCTGTTCTTCTTCTTCTTCGGGTGCTTCTTCCTCTTCAAGCAGTTCCTCTTCTTCTTCTTCCTCTTCCTCCTCTTCTTTCTTGTTTTGCCGCTTCATCTGGCGTCCACTCATGTGGTTCCCCTTCCTTGACTTCTTTTTCCGCCCACACTATCACCGTAAAAAGAAAACAGAAAGAAAAAAAAAAAATAGGTAGAGATGGAAATTTCTACAGAAACGTATAATAATGCCATTTTTTTTTTTTTTT